GACACAAACTTATAGGCCATGTCATATTTGTGTGTGAATTAGTATCGATTATTTATTCATGCATTTTGTTAATTACTGAAAAAATCCATAATTACTAACGAAGTAATAACTTTCCTATCAATGATTAATTTGTTATTGATTATTGTTTCATATCTCCATCTGCTTACCAATTGGAAAAAATACGTTCTTAATCATTGTTTACATCCATTAAGATCAAATATTTATCGATTAATTACAGAAAAACGTTCATACCAAGTTTTTCTCATGGCAAATTTTGTCCTTTTTATCTAGTTTAGTAGTATGTCCTTCATAGTAATAAAATTATAAATGACTTCTTTTATTTCGTATTTTAAGGTTTTATATATCCCAATCATAGCTTTAAAGCATTGATAGTTATTTTTTTCCCTAAGGGTCTCATAATTTTTACTCATTACCGAAATACATAAACAATAGTCATTTCCATTACTAATGGCATGCATAATGCCAGTTTAAACCTGATAGTATCCATGTTGTAATAAAACTCTCAATATTTTGAACATTGTCTATGTTTTGATTTCTTAAATTTCTTAGCTAAACCAAGTACCACATTCTAAATGAATATTATATGACTAAAATGTCAATAATCAAATTATTTAAATTGTAGAACTTATTTAATTCAAAATATGCAGTAATATGATGAAACTAATCACATTGCCAAAGGACATGAAAGCTATTTGCTTTGGATGTGACTGAGTATTGGAGTACACATTAACTGTATTCCAGCCTCTCCTAGATGTAACATAGAGAGGCCTGAAGACAAAACATTTTGTCAAAGAAGCCTAGTCAGACAAACTACTAATTCTCATTAAAAAAATCAAAGTCCTCATTGTTACTATAGAGAAGTAACTAAGACTTATTCTGGACTCATTAGTAGGTTCTAATTCAAAGAATGACAAATGAAATTCTTTGCATAGTTTTTATTAAGTTTAGCTATTATATAGGTTCAGAATCTACAGGTCTACATCCACAAGATTCTCCTTCATACAGGTATACTTTTGGATAATACAGCGTTTGCCTAAATATAAGCATTTATAGTAATATACTTAGGGAAAATGTCTCTTTTCTGACAGCTGAATTCTAACCTTCAGCCACATACTGTGTTTTCTTCACAAAAAATATGATTTTCACTAAATAGATGTGTTTCAACAAATTCATTTATGACAATTTTGATTACTATGCAGTACTAACTGGAACCTTAATTCATCTTATCATAACCAAAATAGCAATGTACTAAAGCTACATGATTTTTTTCCTTTTGATTTGAAATAAAATTTAAGAAGAAAGTTCTTAAATAATTTAATTACAGTGAGCTTTGATTAACAGGTGCTAAATGAAAGTATTTCCTGTGAAGCTCATTTATTCAATATTGTTTCCTTATGAAATATATCCATTGTAGATAATACTGTCTGGATTCTCATAAAATATTATCTTAATAATGGTAAATTACTCATCTTACCAACTGATATATTTTCTTTTTAATTTCTAATATATTAATTCCATTCAATTTCCAACTTCAACAAACTTTTAAGATTCATTCAAATCTTTAAATGTCTTTGAAAAAAAAAGACTGCTATTGACACATAGCATCACCAACACAATTCTTTCAAGTTAATCAACAATTCAGCACTTCCCGAGGACCATAGCAAGCAGCGCCATCCTCACATACATCCCTCCCTCAGCCTGACGGAAGTAAGCGGCCCGAGGATCCGTGTCGAATTCAGGGGAAATTTCCTGGTTCCTTGGCAAGGGGTGAAGAACAATCATCTTCCTTTTGGCACGTGTCATCAGGTGGGTCGTCACGATGAAGTGTCCACAAGCCTGGAATCCAATGGAGAATTTAATCAATTCACTGTACAAGACAGGTAATGTATATCAGTTTTCTTACATTTTGGGACAATACATTTTTTTTTTTATATCAAATACATTAACTTTGGACAATTTCAGAGGTTTAATCTTACTCTTTCATAATCCTCTGGAGTTCCAAATCTTTCTTTCTGAATACGTGTCATATAGAGAACATCAGTGTCAGGAAGAGCTGCCTCTAAGCTACTAAATTCTTCCTGCAACAATAAAGTAAAGACATGAGTTTGTTAATATTCTTTGTTAAACTCATTGCTTAATAACACAATAGTTCAGAAATCACATACCTTTAGAGTTCAATTCAGTATAATCTTTATTTTAAATGAACTGTACACATAACGAACCTTCAAATATCACTCCCTACACTTTGTGCAAACAAATCCTTTACTTAATGTTTCTAGTTTAAGGTTTACATACTTTCTGAGTTATTATCTTACCTGATGGATTCCTTGTGAA